TTGGCCGCGAGATGAAATCGTCTTTCATCTGGCAAGGAAAGGAAAGCATGTACATGCCTTGGCCAAGCAGTGAAGCACGTATTGTGAACCCAAAACCACCTTGAGGTTTTTGTTAGGGTACACTGTAATGTCCCCTTCTGTTCGACCAATCTATCCCTTTATCTGTGAACTCTGACTATCAGGATTTACCACATTAAGACTGCATTTAACGAGTAATAGACAGAAAGATCAACCCAGGGTGCATGTGAAAAAGATAAATATCCCTTCACCATGATAAGAAACGGGAAAAATATTGCATGTTGCATGCACTGACACATAGCAATAACACTGCGCGAAGGAAAAACCTATAATTCATCCATTGTAAAAGCAATCCAAAACATACTTAATACTATTTGAACCACGTAGCACGCAAATCTTTCATAATATAGCTTAATTATCCATCAGAAAACCATGCAAGGCATCAGGACATTGATGAGAAAGTACATTGCGCAAATTTCATGCTCGTCACTCAAGTATAACACCAACAGACACAGACACCGCTAACATGACTGGAAAACAAAGTTTAGATTTGCCTGGCATTATTTGAAAGAATTGATGTCAACCCTACTCGGATAGGGTAGATTGCAGTTCTCCGTTGTCTCGCAGCTCCATTATAATATCACAACCACCTATTAGCTCACCTTTGTAATAAAGCTGAGGAAAGGTTGGCCAGTTTGAGAAGACCTTTAGTCCCTGCCTCACTTCCTCATCTGATAAAATGTCAAAGGATTCAAAACTTACACCCTCCTCCTTCAGGGCATTTACAACTTTGGAACTGAAACCACATCTGGGGGCATCTGGGGTACCCTTCATGAAGAGCATCACTGGTGAAGAAGTAATCAGGCTCTTTAAGCGTTCTTCTATGGTCTCCTTGTGAACAATACCTTTCTCAATCAAAACCTTTTGAAGTTCCCCACTTTTCTGCATCTCCAGCACAATGTCTGATCCACCAATAAGTTCACCTTTGATGTACAGTTGAGGGTAACTGGACCAGTTGGAATAAACTTTAAGCCCCTGACGGACTTCTTCATCGGTGAGAATATCAAAGGTCTCAAACTTCACCTTTTCCTCTCGAAGGATTTCAACTACCTTCCCACTGAAACCACACTTTGGTTCAGTAGGTTTTCCCTTCATAAACAACATAACTGGGTTTGAATTAACCAGGCTTTCAAGTCTGGAGGTCAAGGTCATACTCAATCCAGTGGATTGTGCAATGCCACCCTTTCCATTTTCACTTCCACTCACTTTTGCCCCACTGGAACCAATAGTATCAATTCCATGGTCTCTGAAAACTTCTTTTAATTCACCACTCTCATGCATTGCGATTACGATGTCACATCCCCCAAGAAGCTCTCCCTTGCAGTAGAGCGGAGGAAACGTGGGCCAGTTCGAGAACAACTTCAACCCCTCACGAACCTCAATGTCGGAGAGGATATCAAAAGTTCCAAATTTCACATTTTCACCCTTCAAAATATCAACAACTTTTCGGCTAAACCCACACCTAGGCGCTTCAGCATTCCCTTTCATGAATAGCATGACAGGATGAGAGCCAATCAACTGTTGCAATTGATTTTTTAATGCATCACTGAGGCCAGGTTGCACTTGGTTTGCTTGTTGCAAGGAGCCATGTTCTTTGGTGAACTCTTTGACTGTTTCAAGAACAGCAGGTCCAGCAGCCATTCCAAGGCTGGCAGGGGCTGCAGGTTCTCCAGGGTTAGCTGAGCCAGCAACTTTAGCAACTTTGTTTGCCAAACTGGAAGGATCTGCACCTTCCAATGTATCAACTGCCTTGCCATCCTGATGACGAAAATGCATAGAATGGCTGATCAGTATTCACAGTGAGAAAAAAATGTTTTCAAAGGATGAGAAAAGTAATCCATTTATAGGTTGATATACAATCATGTGTATGTGTGAAATCTTGCAAAAATAGAATATCTAATTGAAACTATCAGGTCATTTTCTTCACTTAAGAACACAAAGATGATGGCAACACCACAACCAACACATAACATAGAGTGACCAAATGCCACTCCACATTGTTATAGTAAATTATCCAAAGTTATTATTTGAAGTTATCTAATAGGTATTTTGTACAACGAGGCTGTCATTGAGCTGAATTTATGTCCAAAACTCCAAATGTGATTTGTGAGTCATCTAGCAGATGGGGGTGTTCCATGTTCAAAAAACAGACCAATCAACTCAAACTGAATCAAAGCAATTTCATGTGTTTATTTATTAAATGAACAGCCCTGTAATTTGAAGAAGAAAAGGATATGTTAATCAGGACAGCAAGTTGAGTCTCCCTGAACCTGCCAGCAATCAGACTCAAAACTAACCAGATATCAGGTCACCCTATGTCTCATATGGTTACCAAAGTTTTCCTCCCTCCCTCTCTCTCACACAGACAGATGTGATATCTTCCTTTGTCTAAACATATTTCTAAATATTGATCAGAAAAAAACGAATTGTTGGGTTCAAAGCTTCAAGCTTTATATGGCTAACTAGTGGATGTACTTAGTGTGCTTGCACACAGCAAAGAGATTAGGCCCTTTACAGTGACTTGAGTGCATGTGCTACAAGTCAAGAATTTCTCTGGTTTGCATGGCTGAGGAATAGAAATTGTACATCCATCAACTTGCTAGATGAACAGTTTGCCCCAACTCAATCTAGCCCAAGCGGTTTTACAGATTTCAGAATGGTTTTTTTTTAGAAGTTCCATACATGATTATGCCAGGTGGGTGGGTTCTGAAAATGAATGGTTTTGGTTTTGAGAAGTTTGGTGAGCTGATTAGCCAGGTGGGTTTCAAAAATGATCCAATGCTAAGCTGCAAACCCAACAAACAATATTAAATAAGCGGGGAGTGATAAAGCAGTTTTGATTCATTTGGCCAACTATGAATCTTGTCACAAAACAGCATAATCCAAAATTTACAGGAGTGTAAAATAATTAGCATCTTTCTAAAGAGAATTATTGGACAACACTCAATAAACACATCAAAAAAATGCAAAAAGCCACCATATCTCATCATTTGTGAGATACATTAAAGCATCTCAATACTTAAGACCAAAAGCACATGCATCTCACAAATGGCTAGATAGTCGTTCTTAACCCGACAATACTTGACACTACTATTCTTTTTTACACTTCATACTTGCATTCTTCACGGATTTAGTTCTGAATAAAATAAGATATAATAAACCTGTGAGCTAAGACATCACATGCTGGTCCATTCAAGTATCACTTAAGATCATGACTTGCAAATGCGAATTACATAATTCAATACGTTGATTCATCTCTTAAATCAGCCAGTATTCAGACATGCAACGGAATCATAAAAGCAAAACAATCCAAATTAACACAACCAAAACATGTTTTTCTTACAATTCCCTTAAATCCTAGATTCCCAGTTTTAAACAAAGATAATAAAAAAAATGGATAATTCCTAATGAAAACAAAGCATCAATGACAACCAAAAGAGCATACCATTAAAAGAAAAGGAAGGTACCTTCAAGAAAACAAAATAAGGCACAGAAGAGACTGCAAAGGCCTCTGATATCTCTGGTTGCTCCTCTGCCTCAACCTGCAAAACAATACCCACATAAAAAATTCAATAATAATAAAAAAAACACACCCACATAGAATTAGAAATACATATTACATACCCTGAGAAAATGGGTCCTGGGGAAATCAGTACAGAGATGGGAAAAGACTTGGTCCATTTGTTTTGAGGCATCACACCATGTTGCCCAGAAGTGAATGATCACTGCTTCTCGACTTTTGGTTATGTTATCAAGTTCAGCCTTTGATTTCACGTCCTTCACTGACCCACCCATCTTGTTTTGATAACCCCAGACGGAAACCACACTTACAGAAACTTGCAGAGACACAAGACAAGTGCCCTTTCCCTTTTCTTATCGACAGAAACACAGTTCTTCAAAACCTAGAACCCACTGTTTCGATTCTCTTTAATATTCTTCTATTTTATTGGTTTCTTTTTTATCAAACTATATTTTGACCCCCACAAGATTCAACAATCTTCAACTTCATCCCTTTATACTAAAGGTTTCCTAATATAAAATCCCAGGTCCTAACCAATGTTTGAATATTTATATTAAATAAATAACTATCGGTAATTAGAACTTAATCCTTTTAAAAGAAGTTCCTCTTTTTACAAATGCTTTGAAGGATGCATAGACCAGAAAGAGTCATAGTTATTAAACTTATGGTATTGAGCAAGAAAATTTGTGATTTGTAATTTGATTTAGATATAATTTTAAATTGAATGAAAAAACATTAATTTTAATTGATCTAATCAAGTTTTGATTCAATTTTAGTAGTGTAAACTTTAAGAATTTTTTTTAAAATAAATTGATATTATTTTAATAAAAATAATTAATTAGAATTGAAGTAACTCAATTTTTTTCAACCATTCTTAAGTTCGTCTAACTACAAAAAGAATTTTTTTATATAGATAAGAAAGGAATTGGTGAAGGGCTCTTACAAAGTGCAGAAAAAATTATTTTTAAAGTATTTTTTACTTAAAAATATATTTAAATAATTTTATTAAAATAATTTTTTTATATTAACACATTAAAACAATCCAAAAATATTAAAAAATTAATTTAAAATAAAAAAATTTAAAATCAACTACACTCTCAAAAACGTCTGAAGCAAAAAAAAAAAAATGAAAAACTGTAGGATTAATTGCTATCTAAAGGGACCAAAAAATACATTTGGGGGGATCATGAGCTTTCTTATGGCATTTCATGCAGCAGAATCAGTCACTGTCCATTTCTAGAGATGAACTCTGTGGGTCCCGGGTGGGATAGTGGAGGACACGTGTAAGCATTTTATTAGAGACTGGGTGGCGTGTTGGGCTACAGTGACATTTCCTTTGAGGTTGGTGGCTTTCAGTTTGGTAAAGAAAACCTTTGAAGCCACAGATTTCTTGATGCCAGAATTTCGGACAAACATCACTCCTCTTCCTCCTTGAATTTTTGTTCAATTCTAAACACTCGTTAGGATGTGGTTAACCTTTTTCCAATGCCATTGGGAGTTTTCAAGCACCTCAAGAACGAAGCCAAAATCAAGAAACTATGCCACCGAATTACAGAAAACAATTGCTAAAACTACTTCCAAGGAATTCATCAAAAAAAAATTCCTCATTCCTTCCTTTATAACGGTTGCATGGTCAACGTTTTGATAACTTGTCAACAAATGATCAAGTTATTGTCATCCTCACAAAAAATGGTGGCTCAAGAAACCAAATTGATTCCATGCTGCATGCTATTTTTTGGCGAAACTCAAGCGCTTTGGGTTGATATTATCCAGTTGAATTAGTATTGTTCCAATATCTCCTTCAGTCCACTCGATTGATTCCTTCTCTAATAGCTTCATGATCTGCAAAAGAAAAGGGAGGAAGAAACTATAGATTTTGTTTTCGGTCCTGGGATGATAAGTAAAACTTGAATAAGAGAATTAGCTCCCTCTTCTTCAGGGAACTACCGCTGGGTTAAGCACCCATTGGTGGGCGTAAGTATCGTTTTTGGTTCAATCTCTCAAACAAAAGACTCTCTTCACACTAATATCTCAGCCTCAATGAATCCTTAACAGAAAAGACCAAGGTTAAATTAAGGCAGTCTTACCAATCTTCTACGAGCCCCTTTCGTCACATCCCCTTTCGTAACGTCTTCCTTGTTTGATTCAATGATGACTTTGAGGTACTTGAAAGCTGATGAAAAAAAATATATCCAGATAAGATACACGACGAGAGAAAATTATGAGGGGAAAAGAAAACACAATGATAGCTTACATGGGATGCCTGAAAGTAAGAGAAGATTACTCCTCAAGGAACGTATTGCATCTTTCGTGCCATATTCATGTAGATCAAGCAACATCTCGTCTTGCGTCTCAACATTTCTGCTCATGAATACTTCCAAGAGATTAGAAAAAAGCAAGGAAAGAACACAGATTTACAATGCAAAGGGAATAGAAAAACCAAAGAGACACTACAAGAAATGGAAAAAAAATAATAATAATAGTCACTAACTTGCTTTCAAAAATCTTCTGAGTAGATTCTTCATCTACCTCGTGAGCCTTGTCATGAAAAAAAAGTCCCTGCAAATACCAAGGACATTTACAACTAACTTCTTATTTTATCCAACGATGGCCTCCTAACAATTGAAATTGATATAACTGAGATCCCGTTAAACCCCACAGCTTAAATACATAGACGACAGTTCCACTTGTAAGCATTTTCATTTTGACTATTATACTACCAATACTTATGTTGACCAGCTATATCAACTGGACACAATTTAGTTTTGATCTTGTGTTCAACTACTTGGTAATCATCCAAGAAAAAAAAAATCATATTTGTATCTCAAGTGCTGATCATGTTGCCCGTGCAAACAAAAACATGATTAATAAACAGATTTCTTCTTTGTGACAACAGTCAAGAACCATACCTCATCCATAAGTTTGTTTGCTCGCTCATAATCTCCTTTGGCAAATGCATCACCACCCTGACAAGGGACATTCATATTTTATCATGACCAGACAAAAAAGGCAATTGATACAAACCATATTGCAGATTTCTTATGCAAAAAGCCAGTCTGGCAATTAAATTGCAAAAGCCTGCAGCTATAAATTTACCTGGGCAAACATTTTTTATCAAGTTACTAAAAAAAAAAAAAAATTGTTATAGAATCACAACAAAAAAAATGATTCCCTTCATTAACCAGCCGGAAATGAAAATTTACACACACAGGTATAAAGGCCACTATACTATTTGCAGCATAATACTAATAATAATAATAATAATAATTAGTAACCTACAGCTTTGTAATATTCATTCATTGTAGCCCGATACTCCTTCCAAGCTTTACGAAGAAGCTGGTAACTATCCTCTCCATCCTTATCTTCAACCGATGATACTACTTGGCAAGAAGAAAGAGCATAAAATAGACAACCAGAAAAAAGTCAACAAACTCAATTAGCCCATATACAAAACAATATTTTTTTTAACAAAAAACCTAGTCCATAGAGTTCACACATGCTTTCCCAAAAACCATGAAGCTCCACACAACATGATCAGACACAGTTTTTGCAGCCAGTGAAGCATCCCATAAGCAGTTTATTACTTGTCAAATAGATTATTACTAACCCCAGCATAGTAACATATAAACATCATAGATTGTTTCTTCTGATGAAAAGAGTAAAATGTATCGGTGGTGAATGAGACCTCTTCAAAGTGCATCATATTGATATTTGAGAATGTGATATTTCAAGAAAAGAAAAAAACAGATTCATTTTGCAACATGAATCACAAGCTGCCATGTTAGGCCCAGGAATGGGCAGCATGACCATTTATTTATGACATTCCAGAGCAACCAGGAAAAAACCTGTCACAAACTTCTTGCTCGACACATCCCTTAGATACCATCAAGCAACAGCACTTTTCAGATTTCAGAAGGCAATTCACCATAAAATATGAAAGCAAGAATGGTGCATGTCACTGAATCAGTGCATTAATCCCATATCCCAGATGGAAACAATATAAACAGGCCATCAAACAGTTCTAACTCAATCTACAGTGAACATATATGAAAGGAAATCGTAAGTTCCCAAATTTATACAAGAATGTTTCAGTTTCTTTGTTTTTTTCTATTTTGGTTGAAGGGGGTGGCGGAGACTAGCAAAACCAGATCTAATGTGTTGCTCGGCTCTTGATGAATGAAAAAGAAATGTAGCTGCAGCAAAATGAAATCTAGTCCATAAAAACCAAAATATGAACTCCAAGTCCCAAATTTCTTGCGAATGAGCTACTAAAGTATCCAAGCCTATTAAATTTCTTTTTTAAAAAAAAAATACTTGGTTAATGAAGTTCCTTTCAAAAGAGGTCCTTACCTTTGTCATAATCTTGCTGGGAGTACACTGAATCAGCCTTGTTCTCTAAGGTAAAGTCTGTTAGAGGTTCAGCCACCGGCTCTCCATATACCATCGACCTCCGTTCAGCCTTTGTTTTTCTTCTAGATAACTCCTCAGATCTCTCAGCAGCATTAAAAAGTGCAGTCAAAACTTCGTTCTGGAGGTTGTTTCTCTCTTTCCCCAGCCCAGGTAATTCTCCCCGATTTGCATTTGAAATTCTATTTGCACAGTAGTGAAAATACAACAAAAAAAAAATGTATTATGATGTAAAAAAATCATAAGGATAAGCTGTCTTTCCCTATTTATACAGAATGTAGCCTATAGCTTAATAAAAGCTAACTATTTAACTTGCTAGAAATTTACAAGTATCATACCCTCCATGGGAACTCATCGATTGCAATTTTTTTTTACATGAAGGTCTTCCATAATTTGACTGTACATCCGTGAACTGTAAGACAATATTGCAAGAGGAAAAGGATATATATTAAGAATCTTGTTACTGCCCTTAAATTGGAGAAAAACCCTTAATTTCAACGATGATGATGTGAACTGTATAAAAAATACAAATTTATCCAACAACTGACTTCGCCTAATTTCTCAAAGTCTCAAGTTAACTAAAAACAAATACCAACTAGCAGTTTCACTGTAAAATATAAATCAAATGGGACGTACAATGATCTCCAATAAAAGAGTAGTTTTCTAAACATGCTAACCTTTCCAATGGAACTACCTACATATTTGTTACTTTTGTCCAAAATCACTCCTGACAGATTGAGCAGTTCCTCCATGCTCTGAAAGGTGCAAAAAGAAAGGAAAATTCACAAGTGCTTACTAATGTAGATGATAAATTCATATCAATTGAGAACAAAACTAAAACATGCAGTATCTTAATGAATACTTCATTGGGCACATTAACTATAAAAGGTTAACCCTTGTTCATCAGATATGTTCAAACATCAATCCATTGAGGAAGAGCAAACTTCACCGGTAGAGACATCCTACTAAACAGAAACAAAGCTGTAGCATGACTACGCTGGTAACACTCACGTAGTTAGTTTGAGAAACGTTGGGCATCTCCAGATACATTCCAACTTATAATGCCCTCCCTATAAAGATCCTCAAAATTACATAAACTTTCATAAGGTAGCCGTACTTGTGGGCATGATAGCATACTAAAAGAATGGCTTATAAGTCTGAAATAGCAAAACACTTAAATAATTGCACAAATTTTAGGGTTTATTGAAGATTTCAGGATGTAATCGCAAATTCAACATACTAAAGCCCAAGCCTTCTGGCTCAAAACTCCACCCTACTTTGTGAAGGCCTCTGTTCTATGTCACCATGAGTCAATGATGCCTTTCAGTCCTCTCAGTTAATTAATATATAGTGCTGAACTGCCAAAAGTATCTAATTCTGATTCTTGGCAAGCAAGAAATGCCAACCCAAAGCATGTCTGGCCTTTAAAAGCAACTTGAATTAACTAGCAACAAGTGCATTCAAGATCTGGTTTTGAAAAAAATTGTGATTGCATTGGTATAAAAGAGGGATTTGGTAAAAAATCAAAATAGTCCTTGATCATGAAAGAGGATATCATGCATACCTTTTGCATATCATATCCACATGCATCTGCACATTCAACATAAAACCTGATTAGAGATCTTGCTAGTTAGTTCATTTACAGTTAGTAATGCAGGATGAAATCAGTCAAGAACTAATCCTGCATCCCATGTCAGATTTAATTTTTTATTTTACTAAAACTTTATGTAAATTATGAAATTATACAGAATAGGTTACATAATCATACAGAGTAGATCTCATATTTTACTATAGAAAATTTCATCAAGTTAAAACAGATTCCACTCATTCAAGATATTTTTTTCAAGGTAGAAATTATGAAACAGCAAATCTTAGATTCTCTTTATTAGGGAACATGTTTCTCATCAATATGATTGACAGAGAGGACAAGAAGCAACCACAACAGATCATAAAGATATGAAGCATTGTTTACCAAGAACTTGTTGAATCACGCCCCTTTCCAGCTGGAAGCCATCTCCTAGCATGTTGAATAAAAAATCTTCCATATCCTTGTGCATATGGTCATGCTTTGATTGGATTTGTTTGGGTTCTTCTCCCCAGAGTTCAGACATCGGGAACTCCTGTGCATCCAATTTCAATGGTTTGGTTGCCACACAAGAGTTATTGGTCACTGGCATGGATGTAATGTAACTTTTACCGAGAACACTTGAAACAGTTCCTCCAGATACCGGATGCGATTTTTGCTTTACAGTTTTGAACTTTTCATTTGCATCACACTTCTTCTTCGGAATATAACCATTGGATGACTCAGAAGATTTTTTATTCTCCATTGCCTCTCCAATGGATGAATGACTTGAAGAGGTAGGGGAACTTCCCTCCATATCTAGCAGGATTTGAACAGAAAAATCTGCATTTCGGCCTGCTTTGCAATAAGCAGAAGCTATTTGTTCAAGAGAAAATTCAGAACCAAATGCTTCAAGCAAGCCCTTCAAAGCCTTTTCCTCATCATCGCATTTCAATATGTTTGAAGCAGATACTTCCATTTCAATGCACTATTAAAAGAAAAATGAAAGAAAACATTCGATGCACAATTCAGATTTTTTTACTGGAACAAGGAGAACTTTAAATATACACACAAACCATATCTGAGAGGAATTGAGCGATATCCCTCACCAAAACAGCACATACATGCACCAGAAAGATAAAAAAAAAATGTCTGACGCTTAATTCAGTAAAATGCAAGCCCACCTCACATGCTTACTACGGGCAAGACATGCTGACTTCCCAGTTGCATACACCCATGAATGTTTTTTCACCAAACATGTAAGCAATAACAAAAATAATTGCAAGGCATTGAATTCATATGGGACAACAAGGCAAGAACAAAAAAAAAGACTAAAATCAAACAAAGCAATCAAAATGATGATACTACTTGCAGAAAGGCATTTAACGAGGGTGAGTCATCATAAGGAATAGATTTGGGAGAAAAATGCTCCATAACACATAGAAAAAACTATTATACTGACAAAAAGGACTCGTCGAGAGAGAAGCAAACCTTTTCCCTGGATAAAAAACCGTCCCCCAAATAATGCAGTCGATATGTTCAACAAAATGTCAATGACCAAGCAAATTGCAATCAAGATGCAGCAGAAGTAGTGAAACCAATCAACAGATCTATAATTTATATTCAATAACTAGCCTCTCTATTAAAGTAATCAAATCTTAATTTCAAAGCTATTAAATTTAAAATAGAACTGGATTTGAGTTCCAACAGAAATAAACATATGCATGGGAAACATTTCCAGTTTGTTATTGTTTCTTAAGGACCTGAAACACTTAAGGAAAAATCGCAATCATACAAGATTAAATTCATATGAACTAACTAAACAAGACCCACATTATTGGAACTAAAAGAAGCCAATAACAATAGATTAGAAAAAAAAGTATAAAGGAAGGGCATTCCAGAAGTATTGCAGAGGCTATGCCTAGGAATTCAACTTTCAAAGTAAACCCTGTTTGTTTACGCGTTCACGCCATGTTTTTTTAAAAAAAAAAATTATTTGAAATTATTTTTATTTTATTTTATTTTATCAAATATACATTATTTTGATATATTTACTAAAAAATCAATTTAAAAAACAACCGATATCATAACATCATCATGCATTACCTTAAACTCGTGCCAAAAAAAACTATTGAAGCAATGAAAAGGAACGAAGAACTGATAACAAACCAGCAAAAACAAACCCCATTTTCCCAAAATGAATAATCCATGATCAGATTACAATAAAATTATGCATCTAACAATCTAAAGATTCACACTTTATATCCAAGAAACAGTCTTCGGCTAATCAGATAATTAAATCTGATCAAAAGCATTTAAATATACATTCACAAGTCAACAAAAATTCAAATTCCAACTGAAATAAAAGAAAAAACACTTACTTTCCCCAAAAGAAACCATTTTTACAAAATCAACAACTTAAACCCAATAAAGGTTTCTACTTTCTAAGGAAAAAGAACTGGAGTAACTCACCAGGGAGGTTCTGGCAGTGAAAACTTGTTTAGGGAGGTATGGCTATTGGCTTTGGGAGGTTGGCGGTTTGTGTATGGTTTCGTTTTTATATACAAAGTGAAATGGAAATTTTATTTTATTATTGGTTAAATACTGCTTGTTTATTTATTTATTCTGAGTACAAACAAAAAAAAAAAAAAGATTGCCTTTTGGCGCTCAATTGCTTTGCTGAAAGGTAGAGTCAGTCACTGAGTCAGGTATTGATTCTCTTGCTCTTTTATTGACGCGTCGTCTTCTTCTTCTTCTTTTTAAATTTGTTTCCTGCTATCCGCTCGCCTTCTCTTACAAGTTGTTTCGGGCCTCTGATTTTGACAGCTTGGCGTAGGCGCTACCGTTATAATTATATATATATATGTTGTGATGTTGATTCAATCAGTGTTAGAATTGAGATTGGCCGAATAAATCCGATAATTAAACTAATAATTGGTTCAACTAAATTTTATTAAATTAATATTTTATCTAATTCGATTAGAAACATTACTAGAATTAGATTTTTTATTCTGAGTTTTCAAATTAACCCATATAAATTAAGTTGAGTTTAACTATATAATATCGAAAAGTTAGTTTGATAATTGAAAACAAGCTTGCCATCTTCTTAATTTTTGACCCTTTGCACTATATTGGTATGAGGTGTGCTATTTTTAAGATCATTAATAGAGAAATCTAGTCTAGTTGATGCACAAATTACTTGAAAATATCTTCATTATTAAATAATTTGTTATTTCAAATCACGAATCAGGTGTTCTATACGAACCTTATTTTTCTAGGAAATTATTTTAATATTAGCAGAATGGTATAAAAAGGGAGCCATACTGATGTTTCATTAATTTTGCTTTATAATAATTATAATTGTTAAAATATGTTGTTAAAAGAATGGTTATATTGGTTAATGGCATAGATGAATTGCCCTCTTTAAATTCATAATAGCCTTGGTTGGTTTTAGGAGTTTAAATTTAACCCTTTTTTTCTTTTTTTCTTTTTTTTTGTAGATATCAGCATCCTTTTCTATTCCAATATTTTCCAAAGCTTGTCTATAGGTATATAACATTTATTATTTTGTGATTGTTCTATAATAAACCTGAAATATCAAAAGGTATTTGAAAATAAAATAAGGTAAATTAACTACTAAATAAATGATGGAATTTTATAAAGGATTTTATTAAATAGAAATTGATATAAAAAAAAAAGTTTATCGAAAAACCTTACCCTTAAGGTGAGGGTAGATTCCTTTTAGCCTTCCTTCTTTAATTTTTTTTCTAGTAAAGAAACATAAGATATTAAATATACTCGAAACCTAATTAGAAAAGACTTATTCATCAGCGAAAATGTCTAGTTCAGAAATTCGTATCAACTAATGAATGGAAGGTTTAAATCATAAGCTACATTCATTATCCTTGTATTTTGAATGGTTTGTGGTATTTGTTTACTAACTTTTGATTTTTCTTCTGGTGAAAGCTTAATTAATGATATAGATGGAGTTTAAAATACACTCACTCTCCTTTTAATTCTAATTCCAATTCCTTTCTTATTTGGTATGTATGTATTTTGTATCTATTATGCATTTTGCATAAGTTTGCTTTGATATGTTATAATGGTGTTGTATGATCTCTTAAGTGCTTTTTTTCAACTAAAAAAAATTGTACTAGATTGATAAGTACTTCTATATGATCATTATAAATAGATGCCCCAAATTTAATTTATTATAGATTTTCCTTGTTAACCTAGGAAAACCTAATTTCATTGGCCTTAATTGAATATGGTTGTCTCAAGGTAGTTTGATTTTGTGTCGATGATGTCCATTAACCAAAGTTAAAGGGATTTAGAAGGAGATTCTAATGAAATATTCCCTTCATTTTTAATGAGTTGATCGACCTTGACTAACATATTTTGTAATTATTGAACTAGTTCTTCCAAAATCCATTTTAGTCTTATATTACGGTCGTTTTCAATAATTATGACATTCAGGTTTAATCAATCATGACTCGCTAAGCTCTAATATTAATTGTAATAAACATGAAATATGAGAAGCTATTTGAAAATAAAATTCAATAAATTAACTACTAAATGGATTAGAGGAATTTAATCAAGGGCTTTATTGAATATAAATTGGTTCGAAAAAAGAGGTTTTTTTGTCTGATTTGAGGTAGTTTGAGTGATACGATCCTAGTTACGACATAAAAGGATCCATTAGAAATATTCATTGGGTCTATTATAAGGCCTAAAATGAAGTGGAACCAAAAGGATTTTAATGAGCTAAGTTAAGAGGCTTGGGTTAAAAAGGTTCAAATTTATCGGTTTAAACTTTTATCTACTTTTCAGGTAATAAATGAAGCTACAAAAGGAGTTTGGATGTAATTCTAATTGTGTTAGAAACTAGATATATGTACATTTCTTATTATATATGATAAGACCTACTAATTTATCTGGACTTATACTTAGAATCTACTACCAAAGTGTGAAAATAAAAAAGATATTATTTTCTTAAGAGTTATGGATTCCATTCACTATAAGGAGTCCTTAATGATATTCAGAACTTATGTGGCAACTTTTGGCTTACTATTTTTTAGAAGATTTCCATATCAAACAAAAAAAATTAATTGATAAAAAATTAATTTTTATTTTACAAGGTACCAGGCTTTTGTTCAGTAATGATTCTTCAACAATTATTTTTCTTGAGTATTTTTCACTATCATTTGTGGCAAATGGTGAAAAATAATCTTAGGTTATTTTTTTTATTATTATTATTTAAAACCTTATTTTAATTAGTTTGAGTTTTATTTAAATTGAGTCAAGTTGCAAACTTTCTTTAAACCTCAAATGAGCAATCTAAGGGATAATTTTGCATCAGTTTGGTATCAGAGCATGACTAATTTTAGGTTATATCTCTTTAATTTTTATTATTATAAGTAATTTTAGCGTTTTCTTTAGATCGCACCATATCTAGGATTTGTTTTCTTGTATTTCTTTGTTTTTGTCTCTATAGGGTTTTAGCTAATGGAAAAAAAATTATTAATTAAGCTTATGGTGTTTCATTTTTTTTAAAGCAAGAAATAATAGGTTTTTTTATAAGGAAAAAGTCTTAGAGTTGCTGAAAATTATATATAAATAACAAATTGTGTTCATCTTTATGACTTGAGAAATTCAACACCTATTAAAAAAAGCATCAAAATTGCAAATCTTGAAAGGATTCTTGGAGAAGCAATTCATAAAATTTTGGATCTTCCATGAACTAGGATTTAATCAAAATTTGTCTTGGAATTTCTTGGTCGTTTTGATTGATTTCTTACAAATCTAGGTAAAATAAAATTATCTTGCATCAATTCCTTTAAATTTTTTTATTTCTTGCATCATTTTTTTTTTAGTTTTTTGAATTTTGTAGTTTTCATTGTTTTTTAATAATAATTCTTGCTTTTATTTCTTGCATTTATTTTTATCATTATATTTGCACAAATTTACATTGTTACTCATGATTTTGTCTCAAGTTTTGTTTTGGAAAGTTTGAATAATTATCGATTCTTAAGTCTTTAAACATAAAATAAATCAATGCATAGTTTGGTTAATTGTTTGATATATTGTTAAGTTACTTTTAAGAATCAAAGTATAGGAATATAGTGATAAAAGGCGTAACGAGACCATGACAAGCCTAATAAATTGTGTAAAACACGAGATGAGTAAGTTTTATTTTGAGAGTTAACATGTGAGGTTTTATGAGGAAATATTTTCTTTGCTACTAACTTTTATTCCAGGTATAAATAATGTCTTTAAAAAGTATTGAACACAAAACGATGAGAATTATGGAGTAAAAAAAAGATAGAATAAAAGCTATAATGGAGGTTTTAATAAGTAAGTTTGATGAGATAATTAGAAGACAAGGAGTTCTTAGTCATAGGAAAAAGAAATTTGAAATGCCATTAGAACTACAATAAATAATGAAAGTATGGACGATAATTTTAAAGATAATGAAAAGAAGTTTTCAAATGATAATGACTAGAAAATTGCTATGAAATTGATAAAGAAGTAATAAATAGAGAACATCTTCCATAATAGATATTACATTGGTAATAAGATCTGTATTATGATTATTAATAATGGAAGTTGTGCTACTATTGTTATTACTATTCTTGTTAAGAAATTAAATCTAAATACTATTAAGTATGATAAACCTTATAAACTTTAATGGTTGAATGGATGTGGTGATGTTATAGTAACTAAACATGTTTTGGTTTCTTTTTTAATTAGAAAGTATATGGATAAGTTTTTATATGATATTGTTCATATGCATGCTAGACATTTATTATTAGTGAGACTTTGGTAATTTAATAGAAAAGTCAAACATGATGGATTTAAAAATAGGTAGACTCTTGAAAATAATGGAAGGACATATGTATTTGCAATATTGCACCTAAATAAGTTTATTAAGATCGATCAAAACTAAAAAAGCAAAGTGAAGCTGAAAATAGTAATACAACAATATGAGGTTGTGGTTATCGTGCAAAAATATGTACGGAAATGGTTAGTAAGGCATGCTTATATGAAATTATTATTAGCTACTATTTTTATACAATGTTACTAGAGGATACAGATGGCAAAACGAGAGCTTTAAAAGCTTAAACAAGACCAATTAAAGCTAAAAAAAAGAGAAGAAGAAGCAAATTTAATGAGATAAATAAACCATGTAAGGTTGTAAGTTTAAAAAATAAAAATAGCATAAGCCATAATGAAAGAATAAAAGAAATGAATCAAATTCAACTAAAGGAGAAAAAAATTCAATTGAAGTTGAAAGTGGAAAAAAGAAAATAATGATGAGAAAAAAAGTGTAAAAAATATAGGTAAAAACTGAGTTTCTATGTAAAAAAGAGCAAGATCAAGAGTGGCAATTTTTTTTGACATGCCTATGATTTTAATTATGTATAAGAAGATATATTTTAACATTAATAATCTTGATTATTTTATTCCTAATGTTGTTATGTCTTTGTTACAAGATTTTAAAAATGATATAGGATAATTAAATTTGGATTCAAGCTTAATTTATCTTTCTGTGTAGATTTATGCAAATAATAACAATTTTGTATTTGATTGTTGGATGAAGCTAAAATTTTATAAAAAAATTTCATATATATTTTTTTATCTTGGGTTAAAATTTCAAAGCAATCAAAATTTGGTAAGACTTTCTAGTAAACGATCGAAGTTGTTGTCTAGATTTTGCTTTATATTTCTTGATGAGATCTACAGTGATTTGCCATTGGTAAAAAATACAATCAACAATAAAATGGTAAAGTATAAACATCCTATCA